ATCACCATCATCATCATCATCAGCAGCAGCATCAGCATCATCATCACCATCATCATCATCATCAGCAGCAGCATCATCAGCATCAGCATCATCATCATCATCATCAGCAGCAGCATCATCAGCATCAGCATCATCATCATCATCATCAGCAGCATCATCATCATCATCATCATCATCATCATCATCAGCATCATCATCAGCAGCATCATCATCAGCATCATCATCATCATCATCATCATCATCATCATCACCATCATCATCAGCATCATCATCTTCATCAACATCAGAAGCATCATCATCATCATCATCATCCTCTTTGATCAGAGCTCACCAGTTATCAAAGGTCGGCGTCTTCAGGTACTGCCTGAGCTCCTCTGAGACCTCCAGAGAGCTGCAGGGGAGAGACAGCAGAGGACAATAGAGGACAGCAGAGGACAATAGAGGACAGCAGAGGACAATAGAGGAGAATAGAGGACAGCAGAGGACAGCAGAGGACAGGATCTAGTGTGTCCCATGGGACCTCATCTGCAGGAACTTCTCCCTGACATGTTCACACTCCTCTCTGGTCTTATGCAGGCTCCTCTTGTGGTAGAACGGGGACGGCTTGGGACGTCCCTCTGAGAGGTCTTTGAAGAAGCCCAGCCAGCTGAGATGTTCCACACTCTGCAACAGAAAGGACGCATCAGCCCCTCCCACCCCTACTGCTGAGGAGACACTGAATACGTCCAACCAGACCTGCTAACTTCAGGTCCAAACTTCCCTGATGAAGATCACGGCTTCCTAAAGCAGGTCCAGACCCTCAATGGTCAGTAGACGGTTTTCACTGATGGATTTATTGTCATTTATTAGAAAATACATAAACACACCAGGAGATATGTGGATAGATATTTATTTGTTCTAGTACGTTAAATCATTCAATGTCCCATTAAATGATTAAAATACATAAAATAATTTAGAATAAATCATGACTACTTCACCTGATAAGTATAAATACTCATAGTGAAGTATGTCTGCGTTATGAAGGGCCGTCCATCTGCTGAAATCAGCTGATTGGAGGAAGATTAATTATTCATTCATCACAAAAACCAGAACATTTGGCCTTAATCTGATCAGATTATCTGCTGGTAGAACCAGAATGTTTTTCCTTATTTTAAACATAAATTATTCCTGATTAAATTGGTAGAAAGTCTCAGCTGCTGAAATCAGCAGCATTTTAGGGCTAAAGCCTCAGAAAGGTGTTTGTTTTTCAGAAGGTCTCCTCCCTCTGAGCAGATGAACCCAGGAACGAACCAGCAGGTCAGAGCGAAGCTCAGAAACCTGTAGCTTCACCCAAACCTTTACCTCCAGCTTCTCCCTGAAGGAGTCCACCTGCTTCTTCATCTCAGAAACCGCCGCAGGTGTCTCTCCGGCCTCAAAGACCACCTTCTTCTCCAGGTTCTGCAGTCTGGAACAGATCGGGTCATCAGATGGTGCTGTCAGAGCTTCATAAGGTTTCATTTGGGTGGTCTACCTTTTCTCCATGGAGGACAGATGGAATCCCAGATCCCCGGTGAGCTCAGCGCCTGGAGGGACGACAAACAGAGACAGTCAGCAGCGAGCCGGGAGCTGACCGTGGTTCTGATCCGGAGGGACGGGACGGCTCACTGTTGCAGTCGGCAGCGACCACCTCCAGCTTGTAGCAGGAGGCGGGGCCGTTGGGCTCCAGGCTGGGGGAGATGTTGATGATGTTCCCTTTGGGGTTGTAGAGCTTCAGGATGTCATGGGGTCCGGCTTCAGCTGCAGAACGGAACAGATCTAGAAAAACCGATCCAGGGATTAGGATTGACCCGTAACTCCTCTCCTCATGGTTCTAGGATGTTCTTCTCAGTTCTTCCCTCCAAACAGTAACAAGCATCTGGATCAGAACCAGCTCCCTGACTGCTTCTGTTTACATGATCTGCTTTTGCTCCAGAACCAGGTTTAGTTTTTCAGACTGATTCGCTTTAAGCAGATAAAAGAGGAACTAAAGATGAAAAACTGTCCAGCTCCATTAGTGGAGCTTTGAGTGGTGACGCTGACCTACCTTTGATGTCCTGAGCAGGACAGTCCTCCGGGAACTCGGCCCGCTCCGGGACGCCGTTCACCGTGAAGTAAATGATTTTTGAAGCCATGTTATGAGCTGAGGAGCAGCTGCGGCTCTGAGAGCTCCTGATCTGCATCTCCTCATTATTCCACCTCCTTTGTTTCGTCCTCCCTCCTCCCCTCCATCCATCCCAGCAGCCAGATCCCAGCATTTATTGCCTCCGAGTCGCTTTTCTACAGATTTTATTGGTTCTCATCAGAAGTCTGAAACTTTTTAGAATTATTTTAATTCATTTCAGATTAAAAATAACTTTAAAGGCACAGAGACCAATTTTCTAATAATTCATCATGAATGTGGATAAAATAAAAAGACCTTCGTTCACAGATGGAAGAACATGAATCATTTGGATGCTTTTATTCATCTTTAGGCATAAAAAAGTTTTAGATGGTTAGTTTTTAATAATCTGCCTAGATTATTAAATCAAATTAATTTAAACCACCGAATCGCTGGCGATCCGTTTTAAAGCGTTTACAGCTAATAACTAACAGCGCATGAAAATTACAACAGTAAAATATTCACCAATAAAGACATGTGGGGCTTATTTAAGCTTGAAAAGCAGCAGTTTCACGTTTTTTTTATAGATTTTTATGTGATTGTAGGTTTATAAAGTTTACATTTTGTTATATGCACTGAAATAGTAGAAAGTATTTGCCTCATAAATGTTTTTTGGCCATCAAAATGCTTCAGTGTTATTCTATGGGTCAAGTAGTTGAATAAAAGCATTTGGCACAATTAGAGATTTGGAGACGCTGGTGATGCCAAAGGTTCGAAGCCGCAGAGCTCTGGAACTGTTATAGTTAGAGGTCGGAAATTTTCTGCATTTATGGCTAACCTGATGTAGAAAAAATGTAATACAGTGAGACCTGCCTATTCTAAAGCATGTCTTTATTACTGTTGTTTAAAAAATACCTTTTATTTTCAAGAATAAAAAAAAAACAACTTTGAGTCATGTTTGTACACTGCAGCTTAGGCTGTGTTTGACTCACCTAATTGGTGTATTTAAATGTTCAGAAACTAGAAGGTGTTAGCTTTAACATAACGTATCACACCTGTAATTTGGGCTTACAGTTCTTAAGTTATTTGCTTTTCCATTTGGGTATGCAGAATAGGAGAGAATCTCCCAAAATGACCAAAGAGAGGTGAGATGGTAGTTTATGTATTTGGTGGAAATATGTCAGAAACGTGACCTTTTGGCGTTGTTTCGATAAGCTTCTGCAATGTCAAAAGATTTATTTCCATCCAGTGTTGCATTAATTTTTCACCAAGATCTTGCATTGATGACGGTAGAGTCTGACCGCTGCGCTAAGCCCTCTCTAGATTCTCAATGGGGTTGAGGTCTGGACTCTGTGGTGGCCAATCCATGTGTGAAAATGATGAGTCATGCTTCCTGAACCAGTCTTTCTCCATTGAGCCCGATGAATCCTGCATTGTCATCTGGGAATATGCCTGCGCCATCAGGTAAAAGTAGTACTTGAGTAAAACTATTGATAGTCAAAACTTTATCATCTACAAGTAAAAGTTTGTACTCTGTCAAAAATCTACTCAAGTTAAAGTACTGAAGTACTCACTTTTGAAAATACTGAAGTACATGGTTTTAAAAGTACTTAAGTTTTCAAAAATGCTATTTAAATTTTCTAATATCAGTACATTTCTGTATAATTTTCAGTTTACTTTTAAAGAACCTGTAACTTTCAGAAACCACCTGATGAATAGAACCACCTGCTATAGATTATACACCACCTGGAAAGAACTTTAGCATAAAAAATAAGGATACTTATTAAAGAGATAAAAAAGAAAAAAAAAAAAAAAAAAAAAAATATATATATATATATATATATATATATATATATATATATATATATATTTGTTTGTTTGTATCGGGGGAAAAAACTGTGAAAATTAATTCAATATTCGGAAAGTTAAAATTGATTCATTTATATTCTGTTCCTCATCAACACATTACACTGAGCGGAGCTGTTGACCTCCCCAAGATGGCGCCACCAAATCACGTCCGCGTCGATGCGGGGTCAATGGTTGTTCTCCTCCCGGCCAGCAGAGGGCGCTGTGAGCTTCCGGAGCAGACCGCTCCTTCCGTTCCTCTCAGCACATGTTGTGGAGCAGCAGCGGCTGTTGGAGCTGAAGATGACGGAGAGCAAAGCGGAGAGTTCCTCCCAGAGACCCAGAGAGCTTCTGGCTCTGGACCCGGAGCATGAGGCCGAGTTCAAGAAGAAGGTCCAGGAGGTGAAGAAGAACCGGGCCAAGAAGGTGAGCAGCTACCGGGGGTGGGGGGGATGGGTTCGGTTCCTCATGCTGAACCCGCAGAGCTGTGGGGCCCTGAAGAACACGAGGTTCCTGGGGGCCCTGGAGGCAGAGGCGAAGCTACACCAGATGTAGCAGGGGGCCACGAGGGGGGCCAGAAAAGCAAGATATAAAGAACAGAGGAAGGGATTAAAATATATTAATAGAGCCGCATGGAGTGACGTTTCTATTCAATAAGCTGTAATTAAAGTTCATGTCTTATTGGGTCAATATACATTCAG